TTTTACTCAAATTATTCATTTTATTCATTTATTCATTTATTCATTTGTTTAAATTATTTTTTTTTATTTGATTATATATTATTCATTTTATATATTTGAATTATTTGTTTATTCATTTATTTGAATTAATTGTTTATACATTTCATATATTTGATTTATTCATTTATTCAAGTAAAAATTTATTTACAATAAATGATTGAGTCATGTGATTTTATAATCCCGTGACACCAAAGAGTATCATTGCTATTTTGAGATTTGGAGATTTGGCAGCATGACACAGCATTTGATGTCTTTAGATGGATGGCATATACTTTATTTTCTGTGAGACATTACTAAATTCAATTACACAAGACTTGTGAGAAAATATGTAATACAATTGACAAAAACTTCATTATATCAAGCTCTATTTAATATAATGGTACCAAGTAAAACTCCATTCCTCTCTATCTTGCAAGAAAGTATTTTTTTGGAGTGGCATTTCTCTTAAATAGGGTTGTTAATGGACTGCTTCAGATCATAATAAAACATATAACTCACCTCAGAGTCACTCCATTAACAACCATATATACTTTTAAGATTAGAAGATTAGCTGTATATGGAGTGTTGTTCCTTGTGCATTGCACAACCTAAGGGGTGCTGTCCTTCCTTGCAAACAATCCTATGGGTGTTGTTATTTTTTATGCAATAAAAAAATTTCTGTAAAGACTAATAATAATTGCCAATGGACTTTTTTTTTTTGCTTTAAGAAATTGATTCCAATTAATACAAGATCCTGGAAAAAGGAAAAAATAAAAAAATCACATGATCTCTGAAACTAAACTTCAACATAAAAGGTTTGTATTTTGAAATGACTATTTTTGCAGATTGACTCAGGTTACATTTGCTAATAACTTTTTTCCTGCATAGTCTATATTCATGTTCAACTTGCAAATTGATGCATTAAGTGTATTGGAAATTGCACAAACATTGAAAACTGTTCAAGATATCAATACAAAAACTAGTAACAATGTATATTGTGGCAAAATTGTTATTGGTTTAAATAAGTACATAAACTAATGACTAATGAGATTATTGTTTCTTCCTCAAATGCTCCAATATTCTTGAGCATTATAAATTCCTTGTAACATGGCAGATATGATTAAATATGATGTGACACGAGACAATGATAGAAATGAATTTGTCATATGTACCTATCCCATGATATACCCCATAAATTACACAAAATACCGCCATATATGGTAATTGTCTACAAATGACATATGACCTTGTCATGTGTCAACCAACAACACTAATATATAATAATAACAAACATCTCTTTCCTTATTTTTATTTCTCTGGTCCATAACACTCACTAATTATTACTTACTATGTTTATTATTATAGCAAATCATTTATCAATCAGAGGTTTTTTTTTAATACACATAAGATCGTCAGGACTATGATATCTTTTTACTTTTCAAAATGGAGACTTCCTAACATGTTGTTATCAGGGCTGGCAGCAGCATAAAGGGGTTAAAAACCTAATTTAGTAATAATCATCTTGACTAAACTTGACTAAACTCGACCTAAAATATGACTAAATAGTTTAGTCAGTTTAGCCAAGTGCTCATTTGGGTTACGCAGCCAGCCCTGGTTGATATGTATAGTGTTATGACCAAATTTCAATAAAATAGTGACCTTCATAAACACACAGTTCATGGTTATGTCATAGTGTTTAAAAAGAAAAGAAATACCAAAAAATATTTTCAAGTTTTTTTTTTTATAAAAAAAACTTAAACATAGTAATAACAACACAGAAAATTGATTGACTTAGATATAAAATATCATAAGAAACAAACTAAACCATCGAAGTCTTGTCTTCTTACATATATAGTTTTCATTTTTTTAACATGAATGAAGATTGTTTTGTTTTGATTTTCATTGTTTTGATTTGGTGCGATATAAAAATTTGTATGTTGTATGACAATTTAACAATTATTTCTTTTGACTAGTATTAGTAAATATGCCCCGAATTTTTATATGTAAATCCCTTGCTTCATATACGTTTCACGAATTAAATTCCGGCTGGATCTCTTCCCTTAATTTCTGAAGTATTCTTGGGATTATTTTTGTTATTATTTCGTTGTCAATGTCTTGATTTTTAGCCGGAAACTTCTTTTGCTAATTAATTATCTTTCATTTCAAAGTAAAATTTTCTATGGGAATTCCTTCTTCGAAATTTGCTAAATTTTTGTACCGTTATATTGTTCCATTGTTTCATTGTTTTCATCATAAGATTAGTTTTGAATTTGATATAAATTTTTTTGTTGTTTTGCTTTATATTTTTGTGGCAGTGTCCAATAGCTTTTTTCTCTTTTCTTTTAATATTCGGGATAATACCATTTTGAATTCCTTTTCCTATTTCTATTGATCGTTGAATGATCCGATCTTTAATCTACTAACTCTTCACAATCAATATTTTTTTAATCCTTCCTTACTTATTGAAAAACGATATTTAATTTTAAAGATACCACTATAACTGATACTAGCAACAATAATGACAATAATAATGATGATGATAAATAATAAAAGGTAAGAAATAATCATGAATATTATTTGATTTTTTAATAATTTTTTTATTGTCGCCAATTAGGGGATCGGGAGAGTAGAATAATTGGTGGCAAATATAATAAATAAATTGGGTGAATCTGATTGAATAAGCCGCCTTTACCAGTGAAATGGTTTTAGGTTTGATATTGTTTCAAGTTAAAACTTGTTATATGTTTAATTTTCATAATTATACTAGATTTCAATAATAGACAAATAATATTTTTTTATATTTTTTTTTCAGAAAACAAAGTTATTACTATAACTATCTATGAACATCCACTAGCTCTTTCCAGATGACGTGAATACAGTAATTCTCTCGAAAGAAAAATAATCATCATATTTCAGAGCGATTAATAATGTAGGTCCATTGTACATGACGTGTGGTTAGCTTTTGGTACCCTTCAAACAATGGATATTCTATTTCATTTATTTTTTTGCTAACTCTTCGATAAGACACGTCTGCGAGCCTCCGCCTTGTTTGTTCTCTGGGATAATTTACGGAAGAATTGAATTTTAAGTTGTTTGCTGGAATCTGATATTACACCATATGTGATTTGACTTTGAGTATTACAATTTACTACTTTATAATCGTTGGAATCAAACTATTCTTTTTAACTTTTTCTTGATCTTCCAACCGGAAATGCATATAATCTAACATACTCTTTTCCAGAATTGGATGAATCGAAATCACTCGGATTGAAATCAGTCTCTTCTTCGGTATCTTCCGTTGTTATAGGAATATCATACGTTTGGAGGAATTCGAAGAGTCGTATATATCAATTCAGATTCGTGTAATTTCAGCATGTGCATCTTCAACCAAGGAGTACCAAGCATGATTCTATGAGAATAATACTCCATATTTTTTTCCATATGTGGCTTGGAGGAGAAAAGACTCTCAAGATCTATAACCATTATCTAAACAGGTGCTGTAACATTTTTTCCGACGGTAATTGGTATTTTGCCTCAGAAAAAAAGTTTCTCGCCAAATCTCTCTTTAAAATACATGGATCTTTTATTTTCTGTGATTATTGGTTTGATTATATTTCCTCCGAGTTTTTTGAAAAGTTTATTTATCACAGCACCACTTGAAGAAAGATAACATTCCACATTCTCTCCATCAACTATACCAAGGATGGAATAATCCGGCATTATGTTGGTGATATATATGCATCAGAAAAAAATATATTATATGGGTAAGAAATGATCATCTCCAATTCCAAAAATTAATCGGTTAGTTTTTCGAACGAATTACTAGAATAGCTAATCCCAAGATTATCTGCTAGGCTCGCGCCCATGACACTTGGCGTTTGAGTTAATCAATGCTGCTGTTACGCGAATTTTCCCTCCATCTTTGCTAAGCATGGAGATGTTAAAATATTTAACTACCAACACTTATACAAATCTCCTAGGCAGTATTCACACATCTATCCTCGCCATTCAATTGTGTGTTTGTGAGATTAGCTTTGATATGCATCATCACGTTTTGGTATGGTATCTATCTATCTTATCTGAATATTTTTCTCATTCAAAATTATTTGTTTCAAGTTTCAAGTTCAAAGCAGTTATTTAGATCGAAATTTTATATACCGTTCCGGCAAGTTTTGCTCTTTGGTAGAATTGACAAAATTCCAAATACTATTAATTTTTTTGGACCCTATGTGCATTTTTGTATTATTTTAAGCTTCTGAGAATAAAATCAAACTATTATAAATAATTATTTGATGTCGTCACTGACTTGTCAAATTGATTTTACATTCGAAAGTAATTACACAGTGAATCTCAGTTTAACGAATAATTCAGGTAATTAGTATTAGGGAAAATCCATTATATCAAGAAGGTTTTTATTATGGAAACGTTATGCTTTACTCTCAAAACTATTATTTAACAATTCTTTGCTAAAAGCAATACTAAACAATATCTGCTTTAGATTTTACACTATATATCCTGATCACGTTTCTTAGTGGGTGCCCTCCTTAACTATTACTCCCTACTCAAGTCAGGTACATTCACCTACCATAAATATCCGACCACCCAAGTTGTGTAGCATCAAATGAAAAGAGTCCTTACTAAAAAAGTAACATTTTCTTAAATAAAACCTTTTTTACTTTACAAATTAGACTTGTACTTGATAATCAAAATCTCCAAATTACAAAAGCTTCAAAAGGCTTGGTATGTTATTAATGGAAACATTTAGCAAATAGTCCAAAAAAGCAATTTTCAATCAGAATCCTTACATGTAATAAAAGGTCAAATTTCTTCATTGTAATGTATATTATTCATTAATAAAACGTGCTCAACGTAATGGATTACATATATCTACAGTACAGTGTCAGCATAAATTAGTTCGTGAAAAGGGTTTAAAAAAGTATCCGACCACCCAGTAATTTTATTATATAAACACTTAATAAAGTTGACAAAATGCAAATTTTAAGGTTTTACGTTTCGTTGTCAATACTTGATCAAATTTTCTCAAATTTTAACCATATATAATTCAAGATATTTTAAGTGGACTTACTTAATGACATAATCCATGATTCAACAGAGGTTTGAAGTTTTTTACTAAGTTCAAAGTTTCATAAAAATCATGAAATTTTTTGTCTAATTTAAAATTTTCACCCTAAATTAATTAATAATGCAAACTCAACGAAACTTTAAGTTTATATGCAAATTAACTTTAAAAACATGTTTACTTAATGCATCAATCCCGGTTTGGTTAATAAATTTTTGAACTGCGCGAGGCGTAAGTTGCCCTAAAATGATCGTCATGTGGTCGGATATTTATGGTAGGTAAGTGTACGTCTCCAAATAAAATTTATTGAATATTACCTCACTAAAAGAAAAGAATAAATAAAAAATAATAAAAAAATAGAGACAAATATATAATAAGAGAAAATAATTATGCACGGGATTAGTGTTAAAGATGGATTCACTATTACGAAAATATAATATTCGAAGACCAACAACAACAAGGTCAAGGTCAAGGACAGTGTTATTTATTAAATGATGATTGTGATGATTATGATGATGATTATGATGATTATGATGATGATAATGATGATTAAGATTATGATAATACATGAAGTTGAGAAAATTACAACGTTATTTACACATGTTCCTAAATTATTTTAATTAAATGCATTACTTGAACCTTCTGTGTAGAATTATTTTCAAGTTATTTCTAAAGTGATCCAATTATTTAAATTCCTTCATTTAAATTAAATCTAGGAATTAAAGGTCTGTTACATTTTAGGATGTTAGAATATTTTCTGAATTATTTTATTGGTGATTGATGAAATGGATTGATCAATAAATAATTTCCAATTTATTTATTGATTTCCCGTGATATGTAAATATAATATAGCAAAAGTTTAAAATTAGGTGTTTCAAACAAGGCTGCTTGCTGAAACTCCTCCAGAAATCAATCAGCAGGGTTTTGGCAGGTTACACATTAATTATTTATTAGAGTT